AAGATCGAACAGCAACAACGATAACAATAACACCACCGCCACCATCACCGACCACAATCGCAAACACAAACACCGCTGGTCTGCGATGTAAGTACAAACTCAAACACCTTTGCCCAAGTCACACCACTAACCCGTTAAACTGTGTGCTCTACAGATTCCGAACACCTCACCACACCTGCACACCAGCTGACCTCTCTGGAGAGTGGTGTGTCCAGCAGCGCTGATAAAGTGTCACCAGCCAGTCTCTTTGCCGCTGAAGAGTCCTCCAAGTACACATCGTCAAAGTACGTGGTGGACGGTTTTGAGGTTCCCGCCACTGAGAACACTCGAGACGACGACGGCAACCTGTACACGGAGTCTAAGCATGATGCTTCACACAAACAACAGCTGTACCTGGCGCCGCCCGAGGATAAACAACAACAGAAACAACAACAACAAAATCGGCCTTCAGGCGGCAGCAGCCGCGGTAACTCGACGTTTCGCGAAGTTAGCAATCTCACCGGCAACGCTGCATCCGCTTCAAGCACAGTAGCAGCTTCCACTTCAAGCTTGGAAAAGACTGACAAGAATGCGTTTCAGAAGCGGAACGACTACGACCCCTACTGGGCAATAGGCTACAGCAGCAATCAGCAGAACAGCCACAACAATCACAACAATCCCTTTATGATTGAGCCAGTTGAGCAGCAGCCCAAGTCGTACATTCGCCACCGTCCTCAGAGTGAGCCCAGTGGCCTGTTGATAGCCACTAATGTGAATCCGTATCTGAACAACAAACAACAGCCGAACAGTCAGTCTGAGTCGTACTACGTCTACGACAGCTCTCCGCCGGAGTCATCATCGTCGCCTTACCGATCCCGTTACCAGCATCGCTATCATCACAACCATCACAACCAGCACCAGAACTCAAGGCGACCAGAGCCCGATCTGGGCAGTCTGCAACTGACGGCAGCCTTCAGTCCACAGTCTCGCCCATCCCCACAACAGCAGTCCNTCAGTCTGAGTCGTACTACGTCTACGACAGCTCTCCGCCGGAATCATCGTCGCCCTACCGATCCCGGTACCAGCATCGCTACCATCACAACCAGCACCCGAGCCACCAGAACTCAAGGCGACCAGAGCCCGATCTGGGCAGTCTGCAGCTGACGGCAGCCTTCAGTCCACAGTCTCGCCCACCCCCCCAACAGCAGTCTTCAGTCAATGATGGGACATCTCTTCTTCTGGGCACTCTGCGAACGGCCTCTCCAGGTCTGCTGTCGGAGCATCAGTCCATCAAGCCAGGTGAGTGTTTGTGTGGCTATTTTGCTATCATTGTTCAATGATTGATCGGCGTATTTGTTTTCTGTTTTTCCTTTCCCCCTCCCCTTCTTTTCCACAGACGTTCTCCTGTCCTCTGTTAACTATGGCTCCCCCTCCTCTTCATCTTCATCTTCATCAAGCAATCGACCAATTGAACTGGCTAAGCCACATCGCCGCAAAGTACCTGAAGTGTACATCGAGGTGATCTCAGCCGATAATTTGACTGCACCATACTCGATACTGACAGATGGTGGCAGTGGTAATGGCGGTGGTGGTCTCCGATCTTCTGCCGATCAATCACTGTACATGGTCGATTCGAGGCCAATGAAGCGACTTAACTATGAAATCAATGAACGACTGCTGGCGCCGTTTAAACAGCGAGAGCTCGGCAGTGATGGAGGACAGATGGTGAATTGGCTGGAGAAACCAGTCCTCTCCAGCGTCGCCGGCGTCAATCGGTACAGTCACCAGCCGATGTACCACACTGTTTCACCCTCTTCTTCAGGTAGTGGTAGCTATCGAAAGAAGGTCGTTCGCAAGAAGAAGGTCAGCCGCGGGCCATCGACGGGCATGGCCGTCAGCTCCTCTACTAACCTCTACGGTCACAGCTCCACTCAGCTGCTGACCGGGGCCATGGTGACGAAGCCAGGCGGCAGACAGCGACAGCAGAACAGTCGATCACAATCAGCAGCTTCCTTTGTGCCACCGAAGATGGTACAGCAGCCAAAGGCAGTCGTCACCTCACCTCCGCCGACGTACACGCCGGAGCACAACAGCGCCGGGCACAATGTCGAGCTGAGCGGATGGAGACCGGTCACTCCGCCGCCGTCCATCTTTGGCACTCCAACGACTCCCTCTCCACTGTTCAGCTACCACACAAGTGGTGGCCAGAAATTGACATCCTCAGTAGAGTACTACATTGAGCCGGCCACCAGTCCAGCACCACCGCTGTTTTCCGCATCGCCACCACCAAAGACCACTTCCCGATCGCCTGAGCAAATGAGCACTGTGGAGATCGGCCCCAAAACGGTGACCTTTGACTTTAAGGACGCCCTCAAGGCGACCTATGATTCACTGGCAAAGCCGGACAAGCTGCCGGTGTCCCATGGACGAGTGCACAAGAAGCCGAAGCACGGCATTTTCCCATCTAGTGCCTCCTCGCCCTATCGAGTGAAGTACAGCACCTCAAAGCCGAAACAGCAGCCGCACCACCCATCTTCATCAAACTCCGTCGCCGCCCACTACAATCGCTACGTGGTCATTCCGCAGAACAACCAGAGCGCCCTAACGGTCATGATTGAGTACCAGAACGTCTCAACGCCCTCCGTTGTTGAGCGGTCTCGCTTTGGTCTGGGCGACGCCATTGTCAACAAACTGATCGACAGCTCCAATACTGGGCGCAACAAGTTCTCCTATGACATATCTCGAATTGTGACCACTGAGTCACCTCCTCTTCCACCACCACCACCACCTCCATCATCCCCACTCTCTTCTGCGCCCATTCGCGACACCCTGGAGGACTTTATCAAGAGGGCAATCGATCCAAAGATCAGCAGTTACAGCACTTCACATCAGCAGCCCAACTACACACAAGGTCGATCTTTTTCTTCAAATGTGCCCAACTACATTGACACTCAGGTGATCACACTGGACGACGTGGCCAGGGCACCGCCCCCACAACGACCACTACGGATCAATAATGGACAGCGAAGAGCAAGAAAGTACCGTCCACTGATCAGTCTGAACCAGACAACGCCTGCTGCTGCTAACATTCCTTCTTCACCCTCTTCACCCACGCAATCCACTTCATCAAACCAGCACGGAGGAGCAGCATTCACCTCCCAGCGACTAGCTACCGTCAGTCCACTGGAGACGTACCACTACTCTGAGCACAGTCAGAAGGGCTCAATCAACCTGAATGAGCCCAACACCATTTACGTGTACCAGTCGCCGAAGACGAATGAAGTGAACGAGCAGAACACCGGAAGGACCGTCCTTCCCAACAACAACATCTTCACGACTACCTCAGTTGGCGACAGTGGTCAGCCACAGTCTCGAGGAGTGTACAATTTTGGAGCGAATGGCAACAACAACAACAACAATGGAAACAACCCGGCAACACAGGCCCCGCCACCTTTGCCCACACGACCAATGACCACTTCTCGGGCGATCAGTGAGGTGGAGTACGAGATGGTGCACGACTTTGTGCAGACGCTTCCGGTCACATCAACAACCACCAGCAGACCGCCATCATCTCGCACCTTTGCCACTGTACAGCCTCGGTTCAAAATTTCCAGAGCCGAAACGACTGTTGCACCAACTACTACGACCTCGACGAGCACTACCACTTCTACGACAACTTCGACAACGACCACCACTTCGACGACCACTCCTGCGCCATCCTCCACAACAGACTCCTACGGCTACTACGAGGACTACGATAAAGACTACGGCGACTACGACTACAAGCTGATGGGCAACAAAACTAGCGTTCTTTCCTCGCCTAGCTCTACGACAACGACCACGACAACCACAACGCCTGCACCGTCAACGATTGCACCGTATAATTACAGACGCTTCAATGTTACAAGGTAGCAACTTTGATGTTTGACTATTTGAAAACTGTCTAATCCCTTGCCTTTTCTTCCGTTTAGCAAACCACTGCTGTACCTTTCCAACCGACCACGGCCAACGAATCGCCGTCTGGTGATCAAGGACTCAAGCGCCAATCAGCAGGTAGTGCTCGCCTCTCGGCCGAAGGCCATGTACCAGCAGCCAAAGGCGCTAGTGATGGCGAGCAAGTGTGAAAAACGAAAGTGCCGCCTGCCTGACTGTCGCTGCGGTGGCTCGGACATTCCGGGCGATCTGCCCAACAAGCAGATTCCACAGCTGGTCATGCTCACTTTTGACGACGGCGTGAACGACCTCAATTGGGATCTCTACGAGGAGCTGCTCAATTCAGGTCGCAAGAATCCGAATGGTTGCCCTCTAAAGGTCAGTTGAAGTTTGGTAAAGTAGTATCTGCAATAACAATTTTGTGCTCAATTCTAGGCAACCTTTTACGTCAGCCATGAATGGACTGACTACGGCCAGGTTCAGACGCTTTACTCTCGAGGTCATGAAATTGCATCGCATACCATTTCGTAAGATTTTTTTGTGATTGATTGGTTTTTGAGATAAACGAGCTTCTTTTTATTCACTAGCCATCGATTTGGAGAAAAATTCACCAAGGACGAGTGGATCAAAGAGGTCAACGGCCAACGAGAGATTCTGAATCTCTACGGTGGCGTCAAGTTTGAGGATATACGAGGTAAAAAATGACAAAACTTTAAATTTGCATACCTAATACTTGAACTTTTTTGCTTCTTTTAGGCCTCCGAGCTCCATTTTTGCAAACCGGCGGGAACAACATGTTTGAGATGCTCTACCAGATGAACTTTACCTACGACTCTTCGTTGCCAGTTCAGGAAAACAGTCCACCCTACTGGCCGTACACACTGGACTACGCATTGTCGCACAGCTGCAACATTCCGCCCTGTCCTACGCGCAGCTTTCCAGGTGAGACATTTCCATTATTTTTTAGAGCTTGAACTTGTGTTTACCATTTACCTGTTGTAGGCATCTGGGAGATTGGCATGGTCATGTGGTCTGACCTGCGCGGCGGTCGCTGTTCAATGGGCGACGCCTGCACTAATCCCTCCGACGAGGCGGGCGTCTATGAGATGCTGCTGAAGAACTTCAACCGGCACTACAAGTCCAATCGGGCGCCCTTCTCCCTCTACTACCACTCTGCCTGGTTCAACACACTGCACCACAAGAAAGGCTTCATCAAATTTCTCGACGAGATACTGCAGAACGAGGACGTGTACCTGGTGACCGCCTGGCAGGCCTTGCAGTGGGTCCGCGAGCCAACGCCCCTCTCCAAGCTGTCCTCCTTTGAGCCGATGCAGTGCAAAAAACCGAAACCGGTGGCCGAGTGCACCCGACCGAAGGTGTGCAATGTCAGCTCAAAACAGGGCTCCCGGACGCTGCGCACCTGTCAGGAGTGTCCCTCTACTTATCCGTGGATCGGCTCCACTGGTTTCTCTAAGGCCAAGTACGGCTAGACAACCCGTTGCTGCTTCTGCCGCTTCAACTGCTAAATTGTGATCAAGTGGTCAAATAGCAAAGCATTTGGCTGATTCTAGTCAGTCCCAGTCAGAGTGAGCAGTTCACTGCTCATTCTCGCTGGGAGCCATTGATTTTCTGATGTGTGTGTCTGTGTAGTTAGTTGCCCATATTTGATACTGCCATTTTCTTTGTACGAAAGCTTTATAATTCACACAACGTGTTTCAGTCGGAGCGGTGTCTCAACAAGCACAATAAAGCCATGTTTATTTAATTTAATAATGATGACGATATGGACAGTTAAGTTATATTAAATACAACATGTGGTGAGTTCCTTTGTTTGCCTGTCTGTTTTTGTTTGCAGTGTTGTACTTTACAGAGAAGGAAGAGGATGAGTTTGTTTATTACAAAAGGCAGAAGATAGAAGTTGATGGTAAAAGCAAAAAAGAAAGAAAGAAAGAAAGAAGATAATTAAAAGAGAAAATAAAATACATAAAACTTGAGAATATAGTGGCGATAGTAGTGTCGCGAATGGGGTGAACAGAGAATAAAGGTACTCTAACGGTAGTAATAGCAATAAAAAGTGCAAATGACTAAAGTTATCAAATTATCACAAAAACTCGATTTGTTTTGGTCTTGTCCGAGAGTTTTGGTTTGCATCGTCAGTTGCTTGCAGCGTTGGTCTGAGCACCAAAGTGAGACATCAATTGGGTACTTGGATCACCCACATAGCACAATCAACTGTGGAGTGTGTGTGAGCACTCAGAGAACTTAATACTTGAAGAAACAAATGCAAAACAGCAGCAACAGTCATCAGATAGAGAAGGAAAAAGAAGAAGAAAGCGAGCAAAGAACAAAAACAAATCTATAAAGTGGGGGCAGAGTATTGCCAGAGTTGTAGAGTCAATAACAACACACCACCAACATCATCATCATCGTCGTCTTCATTTGAAGCATCGGTAAGTGGTGAGAGGATGAGGTGAATGACGTGCCAAACGATTGATGAGATAACTGGTAGATAGAAGTCTCAAAATGTATGTGATTGGATGATTGTGATTGCAATGTTGAAGAGAAGTAAGAAGAAGGATGGTCAGAGGGTGAGCAGAGGTTCTGTTCCTGGAGAATTTCCATAAACCAGCAGCTCAAGACTGAATTCATTTGCACACTGTTGCAGGTGTCCAGATAGCTGAAACCCGTGGTAAGTCAACGCTAAGTATCAAAGCTCAGATGTCGCTGCCGTTCTGCAGGTGCATCGTATGCAGCTTCTTATTGTTCACGTCTAATCTGAACATCTCCGTCTGCAGCTCGGCCATTCGGTCCTGTAGTTCGCCGTTCGTCTGCGGCTCTAGGGCACTTTCACTCAGCTTCAGCTTGGTCACGTGCTCCTCAATCTGCAATGCCAAGTTTCCTTGGTTAGTCTCAAAAAGGCAAAAACAAACAAAACAGCTTACCTTTGTCTCCAGATGACTGATCTTCTGGCGCAGCTCAGCCACCAGCTGCGTCTGCTCCAGCTCGACAATGCGTTTCATCATCTGCTGCTCCTTCATCTGAAAGTCCAGGTCGGAGTACTTGCTCTTCTCCTGGTTGAGCGCCGTCTGTGCGCCGCGCTCCTTCTCCTGCACCTCCTCCACCGTCTCCTGTAGGCGTTTCATCTCCTCCGCCTGACGCCTGATCTGGTTCATCGTCACGTTGTTCTGCGTCTCCAGCTCCATCACTTTCTGACGGAGGTCCTTCAGGTCGGAGAAAGCCTCCGCTTCGCGCAGTTTCGCCGACATCAGCTCCGTCTTCAGCTTGTTGATCTCCACCGCCTGGTCTGAGCTGCGTTTTACCGCGTTCAGTATCTTTAGCGGGCTGGAGGTGACGGAGAGGGAGGGCAAGGGAGTGGTCGTGCTGACGCCATTGTTCAGACTGTTGCTGTTCAGTGAGCTGTTGTTGGAACCGTTTCCACCATTCTCCAGACTGTTCGGCTGCGATGACTCTGTGCTGTCGGGGTGCATGCTGCTCATGTGCTCATTCCACATCGTCCTCAGCTCGGCGATCTTCTCCTTCAGCTCGCGAATGCCATTGTTCGCCTCCGCCTCACGCAGCTTTACCGCCAGCAGCTCGTCCTGCAACTTCGCGGTGGCGTGGTCATCGGGAAGCGCTCGCAGGTGAGCGATTTCCTCCTCGAGCTGGCGGATCCGCTCCCGCAGCCCCTTCATCTCCTCGTTGTTCTCCGCGTCGCGCAGCTTCACCGCAATCAGCTCCTCTTGCAGACTCTCCACCAGCGCCCGGTGCTCCTGGCACTCCAGCGAGGCCGTCTGCTCCCGCTTCTCCTGCAGCTCGCTGATCGTCGCCGCCGACTTCTCCAGCTCGGCGCGCAGATCCACCTCTGTCTGCTTGGCCGCCGCCAGCTCTCGCTTGATGACAAAGTTGTCCTCCGCCTCCTGTGCCCGACAGACCTGCCCCTGAATCAGCTTGTCCGCCAGCTCGCCGCTCTCCGCCTCGAGGACGTCAATCTTCTGACGCAGCAGTCGGTTTTCAGTGCGTAGTCTCTGCGGAAGGAAAAAAAACAAAAAATGATCGATAAGAACGTGTGAAATAGGTTGATTTTTTAAGTGATTTTCAATTACCCTCAATTCCACCAGCTCCTCCTGCTCCTTCGCCTTGATGGTAGAGTAGTCCTTTGCANACGTCAATCTTCTGACGCAGCAGTCGGTTTTCAGTGCGTAGTCTCTGCGGGAGGAAAAAAACAAAAAATGATCGATAAGAACGTGTGAAACAGGTTGATTTTTTGAGTGATTTTCAATTACCCTCAATTCCACCAACTCTTCCTGTTCCTTCGCTTTGATGGTTGAGTAGTCCTTTGCCAGCTTCTTCATCTTCTTCTGATCGAGCTTGACGTTGATTGCCAGATTGACCAGGTAGTCAGGGTCGATCTCACAGCGGCCGGGCATCTCCTTCTGAAAGTACCTGAGCAGGCCCTCCATGTCGAGCTTCAGCAGGTCATCACGGCACATCTGGAGAATGGCAATCGAAAGGCGAAAGATGATCTCGATGCCCTCGGAGAGGAAGAGGTCCATCACCCGATTGGCGATATGCAGCGGCAGGTTTGAGGTGAAAAGCGTCAGAAACCAGGAGCTGGCGTACATTGACGTGTGGTAATTTTGCTGCTGAAAGTGATTGTACAGCTCGGGCAGTAGTTCCTGTAGACAGGAAAAATGAAGGATTTAGAAATTGAAAATCAGACTTATTTTTATTTCCNGGTGAAAAGCGTCAGAAACCAGGAGCTGGCGTACATTGACGTGTGGTAATTTTGCTGCTGAAAGTGATTGTACAGCTCGGGCAGTAGCTCCTGTAGACGGGAAAGAGAAAGATTTAAAAATGGAAAATTTGAACCACTTTCTGGTTATCACAAACCTGAACCATGCACTCGAGTTGGTAGATGCACAGGCCGAGCTCTGCCATCGTCGGCTTGAACATCTCCCTCAGTCGGTAGTCGTACATGAGCGCCTGGAAGACGGTGAAGGCGTCCTCCTCGGGCATGTTCAGCAGCAGCAGGCCGACGAGGAAGGCGCTGCCCTGGCAGTAGCCCACCTCCGAGTCGAAGAGCGAGTACGCCNAGCTCGGGCAGTAGCTCCTGTAGACGGGAAAGAGAAAGATTTAAAAATGGAAAATTTGAACCACTTTCTGGTTATCACAAACCTGAACCATGCACTCGAGTTGGTAGATGCACAGGCCGAGCTCTGCCATCGTCGGCTTGAACATCTCCCTCAGTCGGTAGTCGTACATGAGCGCCTGGAAGACGGTGAAGGCGTCCTCCTCAGGCATGTTCAGCAGCAGCAGGCCGACGAGGAAAGCGCTGCCCTGGCAGTAGCCCACCTCCGAGTCGAAGAGCGAGTACGCTTTCATGACGTTGAAGAGACCTTCCTGCCCGGGGCTGCCCTTCTCCCTGAAGTAGTCGTGCTCTGGAAAGGTTCGTGGAATGTCTCGCTTGATAACCTTCTCGCAAGGCGAGGGCAGCCGTAGGAACTGCACGTACTTTTCGCGCACCGCCGTTCGGTTGTTGTGCACATTGCACAGCAGCTGCCAGACGAGGCCGCGTAAATTTTGTGGAATGCCTTTGCGGACGAGGTCCTGTGGGTCCAAAAAAATCTGGTTAGTAAAGCGAGCAGAATTACTTGCGACAGAGGCAAACTGAATACCTGAATAAAGCTTTTCTGTNGAGGCCACGTAAATTTTGTGGAATGCCTTTGCGGACGAGGTCCTGTGGGTCCGGAAAAGAAATCTGATTAGTAAAGCGAGCAGAATTACTTGCGACAGAGGCAAACTAAATACCTGAATAAAGCTTTTCTGCTTCTTGTAGAAGTTGGGCCAGTCGTTGATGATCTGCCCCCAGACGGCAAACAGATCATCGGCGCTGCCCTCGCTGGCAGTGTAGCCATTGCAGATCTGATTGAGCTGATCAATGGACACGCTGACGATGGAGTTCTCAGAGGTGTCCGAAGAGCGTCGCGAGTGGGTGGACGCCGTCGTCGACTGAATGGAGTTCAGCGACTTTTGATCCGTTTCCAGGAGTCTAGTTCGTGGGGAAAGGAAAGAGAAGGAGAGTTTAGCGATCATTCCTCGGGACTGAAAATGTTGACTATTGCGGTGGCGCGCGCGCGTTGAAGCTGATGATGATGGTGATTACGACACACGAGAAATGCATTGGCGGTGCTAATGAACTGGAAACAGCACCAGCACTAGCGGCAGCATAATGGATTGCCGAATTTGCTTAGGGTAAATGAAGCAGTGGTGTTGCTGGCTGTTTCGGCAGCTGCACATGCTTCAAAGTTTGCTGCCACTGAAGAGAAAGAAAGTTTACAGTACCACCACCACCAGCACCAGCAGCACTAGTTTGCAGACCTCCAGTGACCGAGACCAATAAACAATATGAAAAGGGGAGACTGCCTGCCTGGCTGCTCTGCTTTCTAAACATGTTAGAAACTGAAGCAAGTGAGTGAACGAGAGAAAGAGGCGATCGCCAGTGGGAGCAATAGACTGTCGAATCGGCTGTCATCGAGTGACTGAGAGCAAATGGAGGAGGGAGCCGGTGAAGCCCACTGAGCACCCATCCTGTGCTCCCCCTTTCTGCTAAGGGAAATCACTTTGGCAGGCAGCACTGAATACAGAAGCAGCAGCCCAGTGTTGTTGCTCTTGTTTCTGCCCTCGACATCTGCTAACAGCACCAGAAGCAGCAAGAAAAGTACGGATAGAGCCTCGCCAACTGCTTCTTCTTCTTGTGGCACACGTCAGTGGAAAGTTGCCCTTCCGAAGTTGCTTCTAATGTCGCTGCCTAGCGCTAAGCATGTCTAATATGCCTAAACATGGCTACTCAAACTTCTTTTCTTTTAGATGAGAACGACGGCATCAACACAAAGTGCCCTCAACTGTCGGTTCTGCATCACTATCATCTAACGAGGGAAAAAAAGATGAAAAGGATAAAAAAGGGAAAAGCAAGTCTAAAGTGCCAGTGCCCTAGAAGCCTCAGCATCGTTAGCCTCCGTCGACGTCGTCGCCATCTCAGCGGCAACCGCCGCCGTCAGTCTAAGATCAATCGATCATAATTATAATTCGATAGTCGACGGCGATTTAATTAGTGCCTTATCCATTCCAAGTTTCTATTTTTTACACACAAGCAGACCCATTCAATTGAGATGATATAAGAACTACTGCACTACTATAAATAGCTAAATGGACTGCTGCTGTGGTGTTCAATCAATTAATAATATGGCGCCTTCGATTACTATTTTCTTGACTAGGCTCAGTGTGTCAGTGTATGTGTGCGTTTGTACTTTTGTTTTTTGTTTGTTGACTGTGTAGTACCACCAAGCGGGCACACAGCAGCCGTTGATCGGAGTAATTACCAGTGCCTAGTACCTAGTGTTGCCATTAGTGGTCTGGCAAGGCATAAGGCAATGTGTTATGTACAGCACTTTCTGTCTGTCAGTCGATCGATAGTCAGTGGTCGATGTGGTCGCAGTGACACACTGATGATTTTTCCCTCTCACTCAATTTAGCATATCACTTTGGCTAATGGGCTAACGGGCGCCATGGACTCTCCTCGTGGTCAACAACAACAAGTCAGAAAGGGTGGAGGCGGAGGCCCGATTGTTGATGATGATCAGCATCGGCATCAGCTAGTCACTCGTCAGGATAGTCACGGTACTAGCCAATCAATCAAGCAGTACTTGCTCTAATGTGAGGTGCCACTGTTGCTGTTTTCTGCTGCTG